TGTGATGCGACTAATCGCATGCGTTTTTTACAGAGTTGCGCATGCATTGGCGCGTAAGAACGAGGTGGGTTCTTTCGGTTTTTGGGGTGTCGCGGAGCTTTCGGTGGTAGCCTGGTGGGTTTCACTAAGCCACGCAGGGCCGCGCAAGGTCCACAACTGGTGGGATCCTGGTGGGCCGACTTCGGCCCACGCCTCCCGCAATAGCTCCGCGCCCCGTACATCCCCAGGCGTGGGCGGGGTTTTTCCCGAGCCGCGCCGTATGAACATCCCAGGAAACGCGAATCCAGCCCAATTTCGTGCTGACGGGTGGTTTGGAGGAGGGTCCGCGGAAGGGCGGGAAACAACATGGGGAGTTCGGTTTCGTGCGGAAAGAACCCCAACCCCCTCTCTCCACCTCTCTCAACCGTTAGTTTTGCAGGTAAGGGGGCCGAGTCCAAAAACTGGTCACCCTGTTTTCAAGTGATAATCCCAGGCCTCCCGCTCGAAGTATGTAGGCCGCAGCTACCTCGGAATGGCCGTGGAATCACGAACCAGAGGAGGAACCTCCCGAATAGGTGTGGAGGGAATGGCCAAAACGCGAAATTTCGCGCTAGAAAGCGGAAGGGTGGCAACGGGATCAAGAACCACCATCCCCACCTTCCAATTCCCCATCCCCACCCTCCACATCCTTCCAATCCCATGGCCATTCCAAGGCAATTCTGCTTGGGGGGGTGAATGGCGATGGAATGGCAACGAGACCAACGTTTGCCTGTAGAGGAAGCTCCCGACCCACTTTCCTACCTTCAAGATTCCATTCGAGTGAAAAGTGTGATCTGTAAAAGCCCAACCCGACGTTAGGTATGGTTGGCCGGTTCTCAAAATCAACTGTAGAGTGTTTGCGAAGGTGTTGGGAAAGAAAATTTCGGCAAGTGTTTTTTTGAACGAGTTTGCACTATTCCAATGCAAATACATTCACATTCGTAACTGAATTCCAGAGGGAACCTTGCTAACCATAGTCTAAAGACTCCGGCGCCGCCCCCCTGTACCTGCCTACGGTGGACGATGGAAGGTCTTGGGGTTCTGCCATATGGATAGGAAGTCTATCTTCCACGTGGCCTGCTCACCTGCCTCACAGATCCTCGCGATCGCCGCTCGTTTGTCTACTGCCAAGCCCCCCCACGGGTCTCGCAGTTGGCCTTTCACCCCCCCTCCTGCTGCTTTTCTCAACTTTTCCGCCCTGTAGAGCCTCGCGTGCTGCATGAATTTTGTCATACTTTCCTTGCAGTGCCCTCATCCACTCTCTCCTTGCATTGCGTTGCCTTTGGCTGCTCAAGAGCGTGCTGCCGGAGGCACGCTGTCATTGGCCTGGCTTCCGTGGGGCGGGAGGGGGGAGGGGGGCAGGAGGCAGTTGCCACGTGGGTGCCGGGAAGACTGCGCAGGGGCTGTACGCACATGCATGGGGCACACTGGCTGATGGAGATATGGTGGGGATATGATGGGGATATGATGGGGATATGAGAGCAATGATGGGGTGATGCGGATATGATGGGGATATGAGAGCAATGATGGGCTGATGGGGATATGATGGGGATATGAGAGCAATGATGGGCTGATGGGGATATGAGAGCAATGATGGGCCAATGGGGATATGAGAGCAATGATGGGCTGATGGGGTTATGATGGGGATATGAGAGCAATGATGGGCTGATGGGGATATGAGAGCAATAATGGGCTGATGAGGTTATGATGGGGTCAGAGCTGGGCAATCGCAGCCATGCCCCCACGGCCATCTCATTCCCACGCCGTCTCACTCCCACCACCATCTCTGCCATGCAGGAAATGAATTCTGCTAGGGCAAAAAGAGGTTCACCAGGCATGTTGCATCCAAGACTTGCTACAGTCCAATCCCTAGTCAATGCAGGCAGTTATGGTTCTTTGCCACTTCGTCTATGATACGGTATGCGGTGATATATGTAAGTTGCGCAATTTCAACGCACTAGATAAGTTTGCATTTGTTGTAGCATGTGAATGACTACCCGCGATGGTAGAGTCTGCAGAGAAATCAAAGTTTTACCTAAAACTCGGTTTATTACTTTGAGTTGCATAAGGAAATATAGTTTGTTACTGTAGGCTTTCAAAGGCTTGTATGTTACGAGGAGTTCGCTTTGTCAGAGGTCCACTGGTGATCCCCGATCGATCCTAGGGAAGGGTTACAGGCACGTTTGCCTGGGGGGTTATGGGCGCACTGACCCGCTACTGAAACAAGCCCTTTTATCCCAATGGTCTAGTGGTTGGGATTCTGAGATGGTATCAGAGCGAAGGTCTCGGGTTCGAATCCCGGTGTATGCACTTCGGGCATCCCAGTGCGGGGGGGTGTCAGAGGTCCACTGGTGATCCCCGATCGATCCTAGGGAAGGGTTACAGGCACGTTTGCCTGGGGGGTTATGGGCGCACTGACCCGCTACTGAAACAAGCCCTTTTATCCCAATGGTCTAGTGGTTGGGATTCTGAGACGCTTCAACCGGTTCGGCCTGTAATTTTGGCCCGAACCACTTCCGAATCGCCACCGCACCTTTCGCCATCTTTCGAGCCTTGTTTACCCTGCGATTCTCGTCTAGCTCGGCTTTGCCTATATTTCCCCCCTCCTAGACTTTCCTAGGCCATTCGGTTCTGTAGTTTTCTAGTCTGTAAGCTCCTATCAGTTGGTTACGCCACCATCCAGCAAGCATCGCCATGGGCTAGGTTGTGTAGGAGTAAGCACCCACGTTCAAGATGGGGAAGTGAGGGAAACAATGGTATGTCAGGTAGTTACTCGATAAACGTTGCGTCGAAGCGACGAACAGGGGGCGATACTATATTGGCAATCGAAAGAGGTTTGGAGCTTTAAGTAGTAGTGATATTGCTACAGCGTCAGAGCGATCGACAGGCAACGAACAGAGCGCGACGTACGGCGATGAGAGAGCAAAGGACTATTACACGATGGACGGTCCGCGACAGAGAACGTGACGGACTGCAATGAAAGATCGACGAACGGCGGCGACGAAACTGTGAGCGACTTGTCAAACTCATATGCTATAGTCTGTGTAGGCTGTAGTGGGGTACGCAATATGGGGTACAACACTTTTAGGTTTTCCTACTTGTACCCACCTGCTTGCTAGTTCATTCATTCCTCGTTCTTTCACATGGTATAGAGCAGGTTCCCTAGTGGGAACGTTTCCTAGGGCCCACCGAATATCGTTCTGCCCGGAGCGCGCTTCGCCCCTGCCCGAGTCGCGCCCCATGTGCCTACCCTCCCGTCGCGTCCCCTGCCCTTAGTAGCCCGTCGCGCTCCCCTACGGCCCCGTAGCGGCCCCTCTCACGGCCTCTCACGGCCCCTCTCACGGCCCTTCGCGGCCCCTTCAGGCCCCTCGTGGCCCCTTTGCGGCCTCCCTTCGCGGCCCCTTCGCGGCCCCTTCACGGCCCCTTCGCGGCCCCTTCACGGCCCCTTCGCGGCACCTTCACGGCCCCCTCGCGGCCCCTTCACAGCCCCGTTGCGGCCCCTTCGCGGCCCCTTTGTGGCCCCCCCTCACGGCTCCCTTCGCGGCCCCTTCACGGCCCCCTCGCGGCCCCCCTCGCGGCCCCTTTGCGGCCCCTTTGCGGCCCCCCCTCACGGCTCCCTTCACGGCCCCTTCGCGACCTCGCCCCGTCGCCAGTCGCGGCCCCGCCGCGTCGCCCTTGCCTCGTTGCGTCGCCCCTGCGGGACCCGTGAGGCGCGGCTCCTGTGCGTCGCGACACCCCTGCAGGACCCGCGTGGCGTCTCCCCTGCCCGCCCCGGCGTCCTGCCCTAACCCGCCCCTGGAGCAGCCCCCACTGCAGCAGCCGCCCCTGGAGCAGCCACCCCTGCAGCAGCCGCCCCTGGGGCAGCCGCCCTTGCAGCAGCCGCCTCTGGAGCAGCCGCCACTGTAGCAGCCGCCCCTGGAGCAGCCGCCACTGCAGCAGCCGTCCCTAGAGCAGCCGCCACTGCAGCAGCCGCCCCTGGAGCAGCCGCCCCTGCAGCAGCCGCCACTGCAGCAGCCGCCCCTGGAACAGCCGCCCCTGCAGCAGCCGCCCCTGGCCCAGCCGCCCCTGCAGCAGCCGCCCTGGAGCAGCCACCCCTGCAGCAGCCGCCTCTGGGCCAGCCGCCACTGCAGCAGCCGCCCCTGGAGTAGCCGCCCCTGCAGCAGCCGCCCCTGGAGCAGCCGCCCCTGGAGCAGCCGCCCCTACAACTGCCACCGCTGGAGCAGCCGCCCCTGCAGCTGCCGCGGAGCCCTCGCCCTACAGTGGTAGCGGCCTCGCCGTTGCCGCCGTCGTACGCTTGCCCTTCTCGCCACTAGTGAGCACTGCCCTGCCCGTACTGCTGTTACTGCTACTCTTGCTACTACTGCTCTTTCTACTGCTACTGCTGCTCCTAGCGTGGCCAGATGCAGCTCCAGCGTCGTCCGCGTGAGTCCCTCACCCCCCAACAGCTTCGTGAGTGGTACGCTAGTTGGGGTTATAGGGGTGGCCGTGCTGCGACTACTGCTATTGCTACTGCGGCTATCACTGCTCCTGCTGCTCCTGGCAGTGGCCAGATGCAGCTCCAGCGACGTCCGCGTGAGTCCCTCACGCCCTAGCAGCTTCATGAGTGGTACGCTACTTGGGGTTGTCGGGGTGGCCGTAGTGGGAGTCGTCCTGGAGTGAGTAGTTTGGCAGCTGCTTGTAGTGGCCAGGTGCAGCTGTAGCGTCGTCCGTGCGCGGTCCTTTCGCCCCAGCAGCTTCGTGAGTGGTACGCTGAGCGTGACGGGTCATGGGGTACTGCTCGCTGTCCGTACGTCATTCGCACTGGTGCTCGGACTGGTCAGCCTTCCGGGACATTTGGTCACGCAGAGTTCCGCTGCTTCGCCCGTCTGAGCGACGCCTTGGGTACGGAGTTTGGTGACGCGGCTGAGCTCCCCGACTGGGTGGAGCTTCTTAGGCTGCGGGTAGATGTCTATACTCTTGACTATGATGCTATCTTCACTGCCATGTATGCATTGCCTACTAGTGATGAGGGTGACTGTTACCTGTGTGTTCCGCCTGACCCGGGCATTGAGGCTTCTGCTCTAGGTGCTGGTGAGGCTGCTGCTCTAGGTGCTAGTGCGTCTGCTGCCCTAGGTGCTGGTGAGTCTGCTCTCTCAGGTACCACGTCGGCTCAGGCCTTACACACCTTCACCCTTGACTCGGGTGCTTCCCGCTCCTTCTTTCGAGACCGCACCACGCTTACGCCGCTTAGTCGGCCGGTTGCGGTCTCCCCGGCGGACCCCTCTGGGGGTCCTGTCCTTGCTAGCTTCTCCACTGTCTTACCATGCCTTGCAGCCCCCTATGGCACCCTGTCAGGTCTCTACCTCCCCTCGTTCTCTACGAACTTGGTGAGTGGTGCTGATCTACAGGATCGGGAGGTTGACTAGTTCACTCCTGCGAGTCAGCGGGTGACCCACTATACGTGTGCTCGCATGGGCCAACACTTGGTCACGTTTACCCGTCGGCCGGGGTCAAGCCTATACACACTGACTACTGAGTCTCCTCCGGTTGATGCGTCTGGTCAGGTAGCTAAGTCGAGTCAGGTGTTTGCTGCAGCGTCCAGGTCTGGTCCTGAGTCTGCTCCCTGCTCGTGTCGTCTTGTGTCCCACCAGACTCTCCTTTGGCACCACCGCCTTGGTCACCCCTCCTTGCCTCGTCTCCGAGGCATGGCCTCCCGTGTCCTTGTCTCTGGTCTCCCCCGGTCCCTCCCTCCCCTCCCTCCGGGGCCTGCCCCTACCTGCGTTCCCTGCATCGAGGGGCGGCAGCGCGTCGCATAGAGGCTGCCCTCCAGACTCTTCACATGAACGTGTGGGGCCCCGCCCGCGTCCGTGGCCAGGGTCACGAGCATTACTTCCTGTTGGTGGTTGACGACTACTCGCGTTACACCACGGTGTTCCCCTTGCGCAGCAAGGGTGACGTCACTAAGGTGTTGATCGACTGGATCCGCGCGGCTCGTCTCCAGCTCAGAGAGAGTTTCGGCTCGGACTTTCCAGTTCTGCGTCTGCACTCTGATAGAGGCAGGGAGTTTTCCTCTGCCCGTCTGGGAGCCTTCTGTCGTGCACAGGGCATTCGCCAGACCTTCACGCTTCCGACCTCTCCACAGCAAAATGGGAATGCTGAGCGCCGCATTGGCATGGTCATGGACGTCGCTCGTACGTCCATGATCCATGCGGCTGCTCCCCATTTTCTGTGGCCGTTTGCGGTTCAGTACGCAGCACATCAGCTCAACCTTCAGCACCGGGTCTCCTTGCCAGAGACCTCCCCCACCTTGCGGTGGACGGGGAAGGTTGGCGATGCGTCTGCGTTTCGGGTCTGGGGATCTCAGGCGTTTGTCCGCGACTTGTCTGCGGACAAGCTGCCCCCCCGTGCTTTTCCCTGCGTCTTCCTTGGCTTCCCCCCTGACGCGCCTGGTTGGCAGTTTTACCACCCCACCTCGCGCCGTGTTCTGTCCTCTCAGGACGTCACCTTTGATGAGTCGGTGCCTTACTACCGTCTCTTCCCCTACCGCACTGCGCCCCTCCCCCCGCCGCCGCTCTTCCTTGCGCCAGGTCCTCCCCTGGTAGTCCCTCTCCCCCCTCGGGGTCCTGCCCCGTCAGGTGTGTCCCAGGTAGACGCAGTCAAGCCTGTCGAGGTAGCTGTTGTCAACACCTGACTCGACGCAGCTACCTGACCAGACGCAGCAGCCGGAGGAGACTCAGTAGTAACTGTGTACAGGCTCGACCCTTGCCGACGGTTGAACGTGGCCAAGTGTCGGCCTGTCCGAGCACACGTACAGTGGGTCACCCGCTGACTCGCAGGAGTGAACTGGTCAACCCCCCTATCCTGTAGGTCAGCTCCACTCACCAAGTTCGTAGAGAACGAGGGGAGGTAGAGACCTGACAGGGTGCCAGAGGGGGCTGCTGGGCACGGTAAGACAGTGGAGAAGCTAGCAAGGACAGGACCCCCAGAGCGGTCCGCCAGGGAGACCGCAACCGGCCGACTAAGCGGCGTAAGCGTGGTGCGGTGGCGAAAGAAGGAGCGGGAAGCACCCGAGTCAACGGTGAAGGTGTGTAAGGCCTGAGCCGACGTAGTACCTGAGAGAGCAGACTCACCAGCACCTGGGGCAGCAGACGCACTAGCACCTGGGGCAGGAGCCTCACCAGCACCTAGAGCAGCAGCCTGAATGCTCGGGTCAGGCGGAACACACAGGTAACACTCACCCTCATCACTAATAGTCACAGCATACATGGCAGCAAGAATAGCATCATAGTCAAGATCAAAGATGGCCACCCCCGCCCTAGACAGATCTCCCCAGCGAGGGATCTCTGACGCCTTAGGGAACTGGTGACGCCACGTGTCCGTCAGGCGGCCAAAGCAGCGTTGGGTGGAGTGCGGGCCCCCGCACTGCTCACCAACGCGGTCACCGGTACGGAGAACGTAAGTGCAGGGACCAGTACCCCCACTGCGCTGACGCGCAACGTACCACTCACGAAGCTGGTGAGGGGACCGGGTCTCACGACTGCGCTGCTGCTGCTGGCGCGGACCACCACCAGACCCACTCCTCTGCGTAGAGTCGCGAGCAGCTCCACCGCCGCCGCCGCCGCCTCCGCCACCTCCGCCACTTCCGCTCCCTCCGCCACCACCGCCGCCTCCTCCGCCTCCACTGCTGCCACCGCCGCCGCCACCCCCGCCACCACTCCCACCACCACCCCCACCCCCTCCACTGCCTCCACCGCCACCTCCACCGCCCCTGCTAGCCCCTCCAGCTCCCTTGCCCCCCTTGCCCTTGCCGGTGCGGCGCCTCTTGCTAGGGGCAGACGCAGCGCCGACCCCGTAGAAACCAACGAGGTCGGCAGCAGCAGTAGAAGCAACAAAGGGCAAGAGGGGGGAAGGGGAACACCCCTCAAAGACGGGGGTGCGAGGGTCACCACGAGAGGCTCCTACAGCTACTATTCTCTTCTCTACTGCTAGGAGGCGCTCCTCGAGGAGTTCAGCGGTGAGAGTGGTGGGGCAAACTGAGAGAATGTGGTCCCTTACTAAGCGAAGAGAGTCAGGGAGCCAGGTGATTATGTAGTAGAGGGTGATGTACATGGGGGGGGGGTTCTTGGCCCAGAACTCAGCAGGGAGCGCAGCGCGGTAGTGAGTGACACTAGTGCGGAGGTGCGTAATGAGGTCAGCGATTGTGGGAAAGGCAGCAAGGTCAGGGAAGAGGTACGGTAGCATGAGGTGGCTCAGTGCAGCTACAACGTCGTACAATGTCTGAGCACTCTTGTACTGGCTAAAGTGTGCACGCTAATGGGTTGGTAAGTGGGGACGCACAGCAAGACGGGCAGCAGCATCGCGTGTCGCCCACTGTGAGCAAACAGTGCTGTCAGCAGTAGCAGGCGAGGCAGGGGAGGCACCAGAGGTGAGGTCGAACAGAGAGAGGTCGTCTGTCCTATCGCACTGGAGGAACAGCTGGAGGTCATCGACCCAGACCTCAAAGTCAACAGCACGACCCTCAGTGTCAAAGGTAAGAACACTGGGGGTAGCCATGACTGCAGAGGTCTAGCAAGGAGTGAGCTCACCAGTACGTGTAAGTAGGGCCGGGGCGCGCCGGTAGGACTGGTAGCGCCTCGACGGCAGGGCGGCTCGGCGGCTCAGCTGCTGGACGGCTCGGCTATCGGGCGGCTCGGCGGCTCGGCTGCTGGGCGGCTCGACGGTCGGGCGGCCCGGCGGTTCGGCTGCTGGGCGGCTCGGCTGTCAGGCGGCTCGGCGGCTAGGCGGCTCGGCTACTCTGCTGCTGGGCGGCTCGGCGGCTCTGCTGCTAGGCTGCTTGGTAGAGGCGGCGTTGGGGCCGCTAGGGGCAGCGACAGGGCCGCTTAGGGAGGGGAGCGGCGACGGGGCCGTGTAGTGGCGGCGACGGGGCCGCGTAGGAAGGGGGGGCGGCGACGGGGCCGCTAGGGGCGGCGATAGGGCCGCGTAGAGGCGGCGTCGGGGCCGCTTAGAGGCGGCGACGGGGCCGCTTAGGAGCGGCAACGGGGCCGCTTAGGGGCGGGCGGCGACGGGGTCGCGTAGGGTGGGAGGCGGCGACGGGGCCGCTGGGGGCGGCGACGGGGCCGCTATGGGCGGCGACGGGGCCGCGTAGGGTGAGAGGCGGCAACGGGGCCGATAGGGGCGGCGACGGGGCCGCTAGGGGCGGCGACGGGGCCGCGTAGGGGTGGCGACGGGGCCGCGTAGGGGCGGGGACTGGGCCGCGTAGGGTAAGAGGCGGCGACGGGCCGCTAGGGGCGGCGACGGGGCCGCTAGGGGCGGCGACGGGGCCGCGTAGGGGCGTCGACGGGGCCGCGTAGGGGCGGCGACGGGGCCGCGTAGGATAAGAGGCGGCGACGGGGCCGCTAGGGGCGGCAACGAGGCCGCGTGGAGGGCGGCAACTAGGCCGCTAGGGGCCACTAGGGGACTGGAAAGGGCGGCAAAAAAGGCGCGCCTCGGGCAGGAGCGATTGGCGCTTCGGTCAGAGAGGAAAATTTCAGTGGTGGGCCCAAAGAAGCGTTCCCACTAGGGAACCTGCTCTATACCATGTGAAGAATGAGGAATGAATGAACTAGCAAGCAAGTGAGTACAAGTAGGAAAACCTAGAAGTGTTGTACCCCATATTGTCTACCCCACTACAGCCTACACAGACTATAGCATATGAGTTTGACATACCTGTGGGCTGCTGCAGTTGCCGAGAACGACCTCGCCTTCAACGTCAGCAAGTCAAAGTCGATCCGGGCCTTCGTTGACGCGGTGATCGTGTATGCTAAACCGTACACCCTCCCCACCCCATACAAGGTGTCCAGCCCGTTGCTCGAGAAGCTGAAGGCGGGCTCGGAGGACCTTGTGCGGCCGCTAACGGACAGCTCGAAGACAAGCGGGTGCACGCTCTCCATCGATGGGTGGACATGCATCGAATCCTGCGGTTTGGTGTGTGTAATCGCGCTTAATGACACTGCACCCGTCATCATCGACATCGTCGATTCGAAGACCGCGAAAAAAACCAGGGACTACTTGGCGGGTCTAATTGAGGGAGCGATCAAGACGGTGGGGCCGAAGCATGTCGTCCAAGTCGTGATGGACAACGCTTCGAAGAACAAGAACGCCGCCAACAAGCTACGCCTGGAGTATCCGCATATCTTCTTCACCAACTGCGCCGCCCACTGCCTAGATCTCATGTTGCACGACATCGGCAAAATCCCTGCTATAAAGCACGTCCTTGCGCTGGTGCACAGCGTAGTGATGATGATCAAAGGCTCCGCTTCAGCCGTCGTGTTGTTCCGTGAGCTTTTTACCAAGCTCTCGTTGGTGCGGCTGGGTGCAACGAGATTCGGCACCCAGGTCATCATGCTCGGCAGGTTCCTGGAGGTGAAGCGCGCGTTAAGAGTGATAGTAATCAGCGACCGAGGGGAGGGCAGGCTGGGCTCTCACAATGCCCGTTGGGCAGCAACGACCTTGGTGGAGGCGGGGCGCATGATGGATGCGGAATGGTGGTTCCCGTTTGGTAGGGATGTGCAGGCGCCCCAAGGCTTGGCTGTGACGTCACTCTCACAGCCAGTCACCTCCTCCGAGGTGGAGCGCTATTGGTCGGCGCTGGCACGTGTGCAGAGTCGGGACCGGAACTGCCTCACGGCGCAGAAGATGACTGACGTCACCTTCGTCGCCTTCACCCGGCGGGCCTGTGATGCCTATGATCGAAAGGCAGCGCTGAGCTCCAAGCTCTATTCGGACCTGGGCAACGGCACCCTCAGAGAGGCTGCCATCAACCCGGCCGAAGTGGAGGAGGAGGAAGGGGATGCTGAAGAGGAGGGACAAGTGGAGGAGGAGGAATACACCATTGATTGGTCGGAATTTGGAAGCATCGGCAAGAAGAGGAAAGGGAAGGCGGGTGAGTCATCTAAAGGGAAGAAGAAGGGGAAGGGCAACGGTGCATGCAGTGGAGAGGGGAAAGGAAAAGCACGGGATGCGGAAGAGGAAAGAGGAGGCGGAAGACAGCGGTGGGGAGGAGGAAGAGCCTGCCCACAATCCCAAGGGACGATATGCATATGCCTGGGATTGCAACGACGGTTCAAGTGGGGAGGAGGAAGAGGAGGACAAGGACAAAGAAGAGTATGAGTTGAGAGTAGTGAAGGGACCTCCACATGCCAGGGTTGCAGCGACGGTTTGAGTGGGGAGGAGGAAGAGAAGGACCAGGTGCTGGAGTAGGAAGAATATAAGGGAGGTTGAGTATAGTGGGGATGGATTAGGGAGGAAGGGAGAGGCCCTAGGCAGGGACTTGCCTAGGTAGGCATGCATGCATGCATAGTAAGGGTAGCGACATTAGCAGAAGACCTTTGCAGGCCTATTTCTCCTTAGAGTAGGTTGTTATTGCCTTCCTAGTCATTGTTGTAGCAATTTTAGTAGATTCTGGAAAAAATCCCGTGACAAGAAATGGCCAACAAAAAAACGGCCGAAAGTTTGCCAAACACACCGTACCATCGAAAAAAACGGCCCGTATAATACAATAGCCGTATTTTTTATCCTTGCTGCTGAGGAACGAGCATGACAGATGGGGGGGGAGAAGAAGGGGGGTATAATCAGACAAATGGATTTTCTCCACAGTGAGACACGTGTGAGAGAGACTCTGAGGGCTTGCTGTGGTTTCAGGGGGTTCGTGAGAGTCTCTCAAGGCCACCCTCCCTTTCATTTCGCCGTTCCCCTCGTTTATTGCCCCTCCTGACCTGCTCTGTTTTTTGCTCCGGTTTGCTTCGCACACTCATTCGCACCCACTGGCATCCACTCGCACATGTACAATGCTTACAAGGCCACCGTTTTTTACCCTTAATTTACCCCCTCCTTTACCCTTACTACCCTCCCCCGTTCACTGACCCCCCTCCTCTCCCCTCCCATACCCTTAACCCCCCCCCTTCACTTTCCCGTCGCTTTAACCATCCCTCTTCCATTACCCCATTCCCCTTCACTCGCCTTCCCTTATTGTATCTCTTCCCGTCCCTTTACCATCTCCCACTACGCGTACCCCGCTTCCCCTTCTTCTTACCCACTCCCGTCCTCATAACCCTCCACTCCCTTTACTTTCTTCTCCCTTTGCCCTCTTCCCCTTACCTCCTTCCCGTTTCCATTATCCCACCCCTCCCCGTTCCATTCCCCTTCTTTTCTTATCACTCACTAGTCAGTCACTGGTCAGTCGCTGGTCAGTCATTGGTCATTCTCAGGTCACTTGAAGTCATTCTAATGTTTATCAGGTCAGTCTCAGGTCAGTCTCAGGTCAGTCTCAGGTCATTCTCTGGTCAGTCTCAGGTCCGTCTCAGGTCATTTTCAGGTCAGTCTCAGCTCAGTCTTAGGTCAGTCTCAGGTCATTCACAGGTCCGCCAGTTGAATGCTCTCTTCATGGAGAACCCATGACTGCTGGGGTGTGCATTGATTTCTGGCCCATAAGACCCCCCCGCCTGAGTGTACTGTTTACGGGACATATGTGCTGCTGAGCGCGCGCGCAGGCGATTGCGAGCAAGAGCTAGAAGGGCAACAGTGACCTGTCAGTAGTGGCTCAATAACCATCGCATTAAACGATAGACAGGCGATTAGAGAGCGACTGACGGCATTGAATTAGGACTGTTGACAACGGAGAAATACGAGAGAGAGAAAGAAAGGAGAACCCATTCGCGATGGCAGAAAGCCGCGACGGCAGAAGTACGAGGAGCAGCAGCAATGTCGGATGGGGCAAGCACCCGGGCTCCCAGTGGCGGCAATAGCAGAGGCAGTAGGAGCGGCAAAAATAGCAGCATCGTTGCGAGCAACACAGGCTGAAGCGGCGGCGGCGACGCGACGAGGTCGTGAAAGCTTGCCCCGGTCGCCGCTGCCGCTGCCACCGCCACCGCCATCACCAGCGTTGTGCGCGCGCCTCTACTGCCGCCTCCGCGAGAGTCCGCGCCATTGCATGCTAGTGGGACGGTTTGCGCAGATGGGGGCAGTGGCGACGGGCGGCCACGTGGAAGGGAAAGGGGTGGCGGAGCAGGGAGGGGAGGCGCAGGGAGGGGAAGGGGAAGCGGGGATGCGAGGCGAGGGGTAGGAGAAGGGGGGGCAGGGGGCGGAGCAGGAGGGCAGAGGTGGGGAGAAGGGGCAGGTGAAGAAGTGGGGACAGGCGGGAGGAGGGACAAGGGGTGCGTACGCGAAGGCAAGAGGGGAGAAAGGAAGGAGAGACTGGAGGGGAGAAGGGGCAAGCAGGGGAGGAGAAGGAATTGGCGGTGAAGGTAGGAGAGGTGAAGGGAGGGGAAGAGAAGAGAGGGCAAGAAGGCAGCGCGCGCGGAGAAAAGTCAAAACTCAGCCGACCACTTACATTGGTGTGGAGGCATGCAGCAGGTGAGGCATGTAGCAGGTGAGGCGAGGAGCAATGCGCCATGCGCCTTGCGCCTTGAGCAGTGGCCATCTATTGTTCCTCACAGCCCTGCCTTGAGATTTCACCTGCTCCTCAGCTTTGGCGGCCTCCTTTTTTTCTGAAGCGTCCCAAGAGCCTTCCCTGGAGGCTGCACCTTCTTCTGCCCCGCACCCCTCGCTGCACCCACTTCCTCTCCCACACCCTCGTCCTCTCCTTCCTCCTAGGCACCACCCCCTTTGCCTCTACCTCCTCCACCCCAGGTACGCCCATCAAGTGGAAATTCCTGAGCTGAGCGCGCTTTGGTCCGCTCCCCTGGTGGGAACTCACTGACCGTTGGCCGGCCCTCTCTTCCCTCTTTCCTTCCTCCATCCCCCTATGGCCCCTCCTTGTACCCACCTCCACCACCCAAGTACGCCCAGAAGGCGGTGAAACCGGAAGTGAATGAATTGGTTCAATCACACTGCTGGTCCAGCACCCCCCTCCACTCCCTCCCCCCTCACCCCAGGTACGCCCACCCCAGGTGAGGGGGAGAGGAGAGGTCGCGACGAAGAATGGGGCATGGATGCTGCTGGGAGGCCAAGTGTGTCGTGGTGCTTTTGAGTCGACTCAAAAGGAGGCCAAGTGTGTCGTGGTGCTGTTGAGTCGACTCAAAAGGAGGCCAAGTGTGTCGTGGTGCTTTTGAGTCGACTCAAAAGGAGGCCAAGTGTGTCGTGGTGCTTTTGAGTCGACTCAAAAGGAGGCCAAGTGTGTCGTGGTGCTTTTGAGTCGACTCAAAAGGAGGCCAAGTGTGTCGTGGTGCTTTTGAGTCGACTCAAAAGGAGGCCAAGTGTGTCGTGGTGGCTCTCAATCTGGGGGAGGTGCCCGGAGTAGATGAGTGTTTCGGGGGTAAAAGTGGATAGGTAGGGGGAGGGGGGAGAGGAGAGAGGAGAGGACTGTACAGGGGTGATGAAGTGATACATGTTTTAGAATTCACAGAACATGGTCTCCCTCTCCAATATGCAGTTGTCAACGTTTAAATCATGCCTATTCCCCCACCCCACACCCCCCTCCGCCCTGTCCCCCACGCTGTCTTGATGCAACTCGCTCGTCCATCCTATTGAGATGATTCTGCACAGAGCAGATGCCCTAGGCTGTCTTGATGTTATTCCTGGACACGTCAACATTCCAAACGCTCCCTCTCTTCCTTCACTCCCCTCTCCCACCCACCCCCCCACTTTCCCCTCCACAACTGTCTCCTTGCATCCATTTTATCAGATGCCACCGCACGCATAACATTCAAGCCACCCCTATCCACCCATCCCGCCCAACCCCTTCCCACCCTATTGTGTTGGGTGACTACCGTGGCCATTTTGGACGACATTGGGTACAGAGAGAGGCAATCTGATTGTGTGGGATGCACTGACTGGATCAATTGCAGTCGCCCCTTTCTAAGCATTGGCGACACACAGCGGATCCCAGAGGAGAGGAGGCTTTGAGGCGCCTCAAATGTCAAAAGCCATTCTGCTTCTTGCACCATTGCAGCACGCTTGCTTAGAGATAATTTCACTTGACATGCGACTCTTTGTCGCATGCATGCCTCCAGCATGCCACTCAAGTAAAGACCAAATCTTCCTGGGTGTCGCTTCCCTCTTGCACCAGGTATTGTTGTTATAGGAGCTGGCTGGAGAGCATGGGGGTGGAAGTTCTGGACGGCCAAGGATGAGAGTGAGGAGGGCAAAAGGCACTGGGCTGAGTACGATCATGCAAACGGGGACTCGCAGGCAACGAGGGAGGCAGAAAAAGCCGTGTTTGAGAGCTTGTATGAGTGGCTGTTAGCTGATCCACGCCCAGTTTGCTTATGGAAGGATGAACGTCTACACTGATTTACCAAAAGCTTTTCCCCTCCTCGCTCAGCACTACGCCCCTACCACCTTCTCTTCTCCCACACTCACTCCCGCTCCCTTTACCTTCCCTCACCAACAACATCACCTTCTCTTCGCTGGCCACAGGTTGCAGCAGCAGCGGCAGTCGTGGTGGCGAGGGGCCAGTCAGGAGTGACGAGTGGGTGGATGCGGGGCTTGGAAGCATGTGAAGCATGAAAAGGTGCGAGCACAGACCAGTCTCACATGCTGGGCCGGCTCAACCACACCTCGAGACAGCGGCGAGGTGACTGGTTCGAAGGATTCACTCTAGGTCAGGCACACTCCATTCTGTGTTAGGCATGCACCAGAAGTCAGTCAGATACTTATACAGGTCAAGTGAGGCATCGCATGGGCACACACTCCAGGTCGGCCTCACAGGTGAGGTTAGGCACACCCCTATTCGTCAGGCACATCCCTATTCGTCAGGCACACACCTATTCGTCAGGCACATCCCTATTCGTCAGGCACATCCCTATTCGTCAGGCACACCCCTATTCGTCAGGCACGTCCCTATTCGTTAGGCACATCCCTATTCGTCAGGCACACCCCTATTTGTCAGGCACACGCCTATTCGTCAGGCACATCCCCTACTCAGATTACGTACGGTGTCCTTTTGTCGGCATTCACACTGGCTCAAGAATGTCGCCAGGGTCGGCATTCAACCACACATGGCTTGTGAAGGTGGCAAGATACACGAGGGGAACCACGTACTAGGGTCGATGTCTTTGCGATATCAAGGCCTCGCTATTCGATGCCGGCCTCTCAGCTGGTGGCATGGCGGCGCTGCACGGCGATAGAGGTAAGAGAAGAGAAGTGTCGCAGGATGTAGTGGCAATATCTGTCACCAATTGTCATACCCAACATCCAACCAATTCTCCCGCCACCCCGATCAGGTTATCCAGCGCCTTCGCTCATCTCTCCCCTATCTTCTCCGCCTTCCTTCCTGTTGTCAATTATCTAATCGTATAAACGCATCGATACCGGCTCCCATCATGCCATCCACCTCCTTTCTTAAAGTTCACCTTGTGCACAAACTAGCGCACCCCCAACACAGACAAGCAGCAGCGCCATAGCAAGCAATCACAATGCAGTCATCGCTTTATGCTCTTGGCAATTCCTTTGCAGTCGAATAACTACTTTGCAACAGATTCCCTCAAAAGTGCAATCTAGTTCGCAACGCTCGTCTAGTCGTGCACGCCTGACGTGACGCCGCCGTGCACGACTTGACGACTGTTTACAGTGCTTGCTAAGCTTTGAAAGCATGGAATAGAGATGGTGGGGGGTCATAGGTACGGAGCGTCAAAGGACTCAAAAGCTTTGGCGAATGGAGGAAAATTGTGATCAAGGATATTGCTGCTGTGCGAGCTGAATTGATTCAACTGATTCTACAGGCATTCCTACACTGCAGGGAGGCATACACGTGAACCCCTGCATGCTCTTTCAACACCACTTTTACCTCGAAGCATTCTAGCACTTGCGTTAAGCATATGTAAGAGTTAACTAAGTAGTCCATTTTAGAACATCACGCTTGCCTTGACAGCACATGACTTGACAGCACATGCCTTGACAGCACATGCCATCTAAGGAAGGACTGCTTTCTCCTCAGCGCTTAGAATGAATCCTTGAATCAGCATGTATAAAAGCGGTTGGCAATTGCTACTATTTGCAATCTCTTTTGCATTAACCCCGTCACACTTGCTTGTAGGACTTGCATTTTGTTACTTTGTGAATCCCTCCTTTGTAGGCAAGCGTCGAATTCCGAAAAAAGAACAAGCAGAGCACGTTGCTCCTTGCATCTCAATCATCCCCGCTCTTCTTTTCCATTTGTTTCCACTTCCATCCCCCTCTTTCTCCTAAAGGCATTCAGATTATGATGGGATTGCTTCATTTAGAAAGCATATAAGAGAAGCCATGTTGTGCGACTAATTGGAGAAGATACTACTTAGACATCCATTCCATCCCACTAAGGCGCATTTGATCCCATACCTCATCTCATCCCATACATCATGCTACAGTGTGCATCCCACTCCACTGCCATTTTGGAATCAAACTTGCTTCCCTCAATGAACCGCCCTTGCGTCTCTGAACCTACCCATGCCTGCCATTCACTCATTCCTGCCCTTCACCCGTGCATGTTCTTCACTCAGCAGAATCCCCTCAAGGTCGCTGGAACACTAGGAGCATGCCACACAATAGCAGCTGCTGTAACAAGCAGAGGGAGGTTGGAGGAGGGGGGAGAGGGGGGGGGGGAGGGCATGAAGTGGGTAGAGTGGTGGGGGTGCAGTGACAAGGTGCAGCTGCAATAGCCTGGTGTCACAACTCCATGCAGTGACAAGGTGCAGCTGCAATAGCCTTTGTCTGATCTTGTTATACCGAATTCATAACTACATTGTGGTGAGCGCTGGAGACACACAGCGACCTCGGTGGAGAGGAGAGGAGGGCGGCCTGCTGAGAGGAGCACCACTGCAGCACACTCTGAGATATTCTCCCCTCCCCTCCCATGCATGCCATCGCTGCCTGCATTCCACTCGCATGCCACTTGAATCACGTCCATCTCTTCCAATGCATGGATGGACGCCATGGGCATTCCAACATCAGGGTTTACGTCTTGTCTTGCATGGTTTTGCATTGTCTGAGCCTGCACTTATCTCGTCCGATCTGTTGTGGCCTAGTCAGGCATGCCCCGCCCTGGCCTGCTGTGTCCTGGTTTCGCCTGGTATGGCCTGGTATGGCCTGGTATGGCCTGGTATGGCCTGGTATGGCCTGGTCTGGCCTGGTCTGGCCTGGTCTGGCCTGGTATGGCCTGGTTTGGCCTGGTCTGGCCTGGTCTGGCCTGGTCTGGCCTGGTCTGGCCTGGTCTGGCCTGGTCTGGCCTGCTATGGGGCCTGACTTGAGGGCCACAAGGTTTGCCTTGAGGTCTTACAACAAATCTGAGGGCCTGCTATCACCACCATCTCGCTCCCACCACCATCTCACTCCCACCACCACCTCACTCCCACTTTCATCTCACTCCCACCACCACCTCACTCCCACCGCCATCTCACTCCCACCACCGTCTCACTCCCACCACCGTCTCACTCCCACCACCATCGCACTCCCACCATCATCTCACTCCCACCACCATCTCACTCCCACTATCATCTCACTCCCACCACCACCTCACTCCCACTATCATCTCATTCCCACCAACTATCATCTCATTCCAGGGCTGACGTAAAAAAAAAAAAACCACTCTGAAGCAGGGGAGGAAAAAAATCGTTTAGTCTGAGGGTCATTTCCCAAGTTCTGAGTACTCTGAAATGTCAGGTTTGAAAAAAATCATTAGTCTGAAAAGTTTTAAGTTTGTAAAACCACATCCGAGTTGGTTAATAGCGAGTATCTGTCAAGTGAGTTTGGCCTAGGGAAAACGTTGCGGAGTTGGCGAGAAGCAGGAGTAAGAGGGGGCGGGGGAAGGGGGAGGGGGGAGGGGGGCAGGGGGGGAATTGAATGTAATTCGATAGAGGGGGAGGGGGGAGGACTGAAATTCGGCAATTTCAGGGGCCATACTCCCTGTAGTCTCGAGTCTCAATATCGCACAATGAAGTACTCTGAGGCCTTCAGAGTTCAAAAACTAACAGGTCTGAGGCCTTCAGAGTTCAAAATACAGGAATACTGAAATTTCAGGAAAGGCGAAAAAAAGAGTCTGAGATTTCAGACAATCAACTAAAATAGTCTGATAAAATCAGCCCTGACTCATTCCCATTATCATCTCACCCCGACTATCTTCTCATTCCCACTATTATCTCACCCCGACTATCATCTCAATCCCACTATCATCTCACTCCCACCACCATATCTGCCATGCATGCAAGCAGCAAGAGGTCCAAGAGCCAGGAAGGCTACCTCTGTCTAGAAATTGTTTGAATGAAGTTATATGCTTGAGATACGTAATTGAGACGCACTAGCTAAGTAGTTTGCATGCGTTGTAGCGCGTTAATGGTTTCCAGCAATGGTTGAACTTAGCAAGTATCTCGTAGAATTTGCGGAGAGATTGATTGGGGGGATTTAAAATAGTACGTCGAACTGTTTGATTACGTTAAGTTTTCTTAAGGAATTACAAGTTTCTGCTGTAGATCACTCTGGTTTGTATGTTCCGAAGAGTTCGCTTCAACTGGTTCGGCCTATTATTCGCCCCGAACCACTTTCGACTCGCTTACGGACCTTTCGCCTTGTTCCGAGCCTCGCTCCCTAGGTCCATGCCTAGCTCGGCTATGCCTACTTTGGTCCCTGTTCTAAACAGCCGTGGGACATTCTGTTCTGTAGGTTTCTAGTTTGCAAAAGCCTCGCACTCATAACAGTTTTTTCATTGAATCAAAATTTTCGAAGGAATACACAGCACCTGCGTTAGTGGCTCGATAGCGGCCGTGTAAAAGCGGCAGACAGGGAGACGGCGAAAAAGGAACTGTGGACGACAAAAACGGAACAGCTGACGAGCGACGGTAGACGGCGAGAGAGCGATGACCGACGGTAGACGACGAACGACGAGTGGCGGTAGACGACGAGAGAGCGACAGGCGATAATAGACGACGAACGACGAGTGGCGGTAGACGACGAAAGAGCAACAGTAGACGACGAAAACGAAGGCGGGTCTCCCGGCGGCGGCAGCAGCGGAAGTAGCAGCGTCGCTGCGAGCAGCAAAGGCCGACGCGGCGGTGGCATTGGCCGCCGCGATCCTCGCTGCGTGCGCGCCTCTACCCCCGCCTCCGCGAGAGTCCACGCAAATTGGCTTCCGCCCTTGTGGGAGGGGGGACGCAGATGTGGTTAGCAGTGGCGGCCGGCCTCACTCACTGGGAAGGGGAGGCGGAGCGGGGAGGGGAGGCGTAGGTAGGGGAGGGGGAAGGGGGAATGCGGGCGCGTGGAGTTTGGGTTTGGCGGAAACGAGGCGACAGGGAGCGGAGCAGGAGTGCGGAGGATGGGGGAAGGGGCAGGCGGAGGGGTGAGGAAGGGCGGGAGAGAGGGAAAGGGGGAAAGCGCGCCACCAGGGACCAGAGGAGGGGCGCAAGAGGGGGCCGCGGAGGAGCGCCTGTAGAGAGCCGCGATGGGGGCTGCGAGTGGGTAGGCGAAGGCGCGAGAGGAGAAAGGACAGAGAGATTGGAGGGGAGAAGGGGTAAGCAGGGGAGGAGAAGGGAGGGGAAGAGAAGAGAGGGAAAGAAGGCAGCGAGGCGAAAAAGGAAACTCATACGACCTCTTGCAGCAGGTTAGGCAAGCAGCAGGTGAGGCAAGCAGCAGGTGAGGCAAGCAGCAGGTTAGGCAAGCAGCAGGTTAGGCAAGCAGCAGGTTAGGCAAGCAGCAGGTTAGGCAAGCACCAGGTTAGGCAAGCAGCAGGTTAGGCAAGCAGCAGGTTAGGCAAGCAGCAGGTTAGGCAAGCACCAGGTGAGGCAAGCAGCAGGTGAGGCAAGCAGCAGGTTAGGCAAGCAGCAGGTTAGGCAAGCAGCAGGTTAGGCAAGCAGCAGGTTAGGAAAGCAGCAGGTTAGGCAAGCAGCAGGTTAGGCAAGCAGCAGGTTATGCAAGCAGCAGGTTAGGCAAGCAGCAGGTTAGGCAAGCAGGAGGTGAGGCAAGCAGCAGGTTAGGCAAGCAGCAGGTTAGGAAAGCAGCAGGCTAGGAAAGCAGCAGGTTAGGCAAGCAGCAAGTTAGGCAAGCAGCAGGTTAGGCAAGCAGCAGGTGAGGCGCTGAGTCGGTTGTTTGCCATTCAACGCCACTGAGTTATGGTTGTGACGCGCACCTGACACCTTGCCTTGGTGATTGCATCCACACCCCTCGCTGCACTGCACCCATCTCCTCCCTCACACCCATCTCCTCCCTCACACCCATCTCCTCCCTCACACCCATCTCCTCCCTCACACCCATCTCCTCCCTCACACCCATCTCCTCCCTCACACCCATCTCCTCCCTCACACCCATCTCCTCCCCCGCATCAATGTCCTCCGGCACGTCAAATTTCCGCACCCCTCCTCCTCACGTCTTTTCTCTCCCCACCTCAAACTCCTCGTTCACCAGGTGCTCGCCAGGTGCTCGCCAGGTGCTCGCCAGGTGCTCACCCCCGAGCTCAGCGCGCTTCTCCAATGGGCGTGCTGCTTACCACCAAGTGGAAGGGGTGCCTGGGGCAGGTGAGGGGGCGGGAGGGAGTGCTGACAGTGAATGGTGTGCAACGATGGGGAGAATGGGGGGAAGGGTGAGGAGAATGGAGTGGGCGAGGAGATTGGGGGGGTGATTATTATGCAAAACATTCCTGTGATTTCGCATCACCGTTTATCGCTTCTGTTGGATGGTCTTGAGGTGGGCTGTGTGCGAATGCACCACTCAATGTTTAAACCACCCCCACCCACCCTCCCCACCCCTCTTCCGCCCAATCCCCAGGTGGTCTTGAGATATCCCTCACATCCACCCTATCAGAAGCTGCTGCATGCAGCATTCAAAGTTCCACGTATCCCTATCCAACCAGCCTCACCACGACCACCCACCCCACCCACTCCTCTGTCGTCTCCCCAGGTGGCCTTGACGCTGCCCCTATCCCAACACATCACCACCCATCCTATCAGATGTCGCCACTGCATACAGCACCCCTATCCACCCATTCCCAACCGCCCATCCCATCCCAACCACCCATCCCATCCCAACCCTTTGCAGTCTCCTCAGGTGGCCTTGACGCTGCCCCTATCCCAACACATCACCACGCATCCCATCAGATGCCGCCACTGCACGCAGCACCCCTATCTACCCATTCCCAACCGCCCATCCCATCCCAACCGCAGGGAAGGTGGGATGGAGGGTAGGGGGGAGGAGGGGCGGGCGGGGGTAGAGTAGGAAGCATGCAGGGAAGAGGTGCAGGAGTGGGGGAAGAGGTGCAGGAGTGGGAGAAGAGGTGCAAGAGTGGGGGAAGAGCGTGGTCAGGACAGTGGGTGATAGGGAGGTGGATGGAAACCAGTGGTTAGGCGAGGACAAGGGTGGAGAAAGAAAGGCGAGAAGGGAAGAGAGATGGGAGAAGAGATGGAGCAGCAATGGAAAGAGGAAGAAATGACGAGGGCTGAGAGGAGCAAAGGTGATGAGGAGGGCAAGGTGGAAGAGTGCAGTGGGTGAGGAGAAGGAAGAGGAGGGAAAGAAGGAAGAGCGGTTGGAGGAGAAGGACGGGGAGGTGGAGGAGACGAATGTGGCATGGGCATGCATGCATGCAGCAGGTAAGGCGAGGAGGTTTCAGAATCCTCAAGAACACCCTGCAGAATACAGGCGACCTCAGACACATGTAGGCGCGGAGGCATGCAGCAGGTGAGGCATGCAGCAGGTGAGGCATGCAGCAGGTGAGGCATGCAGCAGGTGAGGCATGCAGCAGGTGAGGCATGCAGTAGGTGAGGCATGCAGCAGATGAGGCATGCAGCAGATGAGGCATGCAGCAGGTGAAGCATGCAGCAGATGAGGCATGCAGCAGATGAGGCATGCAGCAGGCGAGGCATGCAGCAGGCGAGGCATGCAGTAGGAGAGGCGAAACACGGGGGGTGCAGAAGGTGCAGTAGGTGCAGTAGGGGAGGCGGAGCGGCGAGGGGAGGCACAGAGAGGGGAGGGGGAAGTAAGTGAGGATGCGGGAGCCCGTGGCTTGGGTTTGACGGAAACGAGGTGAGGGGTGGGAGCAAGGGAAGCAGTGGACAGGCGGAGGGGTGGAAACAGGCGCGAGAAGGGGCAGGGAGTGGAGGGGAGAGTGGAGGAGAGGCACGTGGATGGAGAACGAGTGGGTAGGCGAAGGCGAGAGAGGAGAAAGGGAGGAGGTATTGGAGGGGAGAAGGGGCAAGCAGGGGAGGAGAAGGGAGGGGAGGATAAGGAACGGGAGGTGATTGGAGGGAAAAGAAGATAGGGCAAAAGGGCAGCGCGGTGAAATGGCAGAGGTGGAGGCATGCAGCAGGTGAGGCGGTGAGTCGATCACTCGCCATTCAACAGCACCATCGAGCATGGTTTCTGAGTCGGCTCAGAAAAGACAGGGGAAAAGGAAGATGTGAATGGGGGGGCATGGCTCAGCTGTCTTGTATTCTGGATGTCCATGTGTGAGGGGTGAGTGCTGGCTGAGGTGAATGGGGGGGCAAATGGGAGTGTTCATGGTGGTTCGGCTGGTGAGGTGAGGAATGAGGTTCCTGGCTGTTGTGAGTGCAGGCTGAGGTGGGAAATGGTTTCTTTCCAAATGTTGCCTTGCCAAGGTGAGTGCAGGTTAGTGAAGGGTTGGTCAAGGTGACTCCACGCGAGTGACCTGGCAAAATGGAGGGAAGGGTGGGAGGGGAATGCAAGAAGTGTGTGTGTTATAGATGGTGATTCATTCATGTGGTAAATGTGTAGTGGGGAATGAGCGGTGCTGACTGTGGTGGTGGAAGGAAGGCGAGACCAGGCGGAAGCGGGAGGTGGTGTGAGTGGGGTTGAATCCGGAGAAAATGCAAGTAGGGAGTAAGCAGTTGCTATGACGAAGGTCAAGTCGCTTCATGCATACCCTCTTGCTTGCACTGCACTTTCCCCATTATGAGCCAGAAGATGATGGACAGCGATTGCCATGTCTCATTCATCGTGCCAGTCTTTGAACCGCCCGCGCTGCCGGGTGAGTAGCGGGTGACTGGCGGGTGACTGGCGGGTGACTGGCGGGTGAGTGGCGGGTGAGTGGCGGGTGAGTGGCGGGTGAGTGGCGGGTGAGTGGCGGGTGAGTGGCGGGTGAGTGGCGGGTGAGTAGCGGGTGAGTGGCGGGCGGGTGAGTGGCGGGTGAGTGGCGGGTGAGTGGCGGGTGAGTAGCGGGTGAGTGGCGGGTGAGTAGCGGGCGAGTGGCGGGCGAGTGGCGGGTGAGTAGCGGGTGAGTGGCGGGTGAGTGGCGGGTGAGTGGCGGGTGAGTGGCGGTGAGTGGCGGGTGAGTGGCGGGTGAGTGGCGGGTGAGTGGCGGGTGAGTGGCGGGTGAGTGCGGTGGCGGGTGCGTGGCGGGTGAGTGGCGGGTGAGTGGCGGGTGAGTGGCGGGTGAGTGGCGGGTGAGTGGCGGGTGAGTGGCGGGTGAGTGGCGGGTGAGTGGCGGGTGAGTGGCGGGTGAGTGGCGTGCCGTGGGCATCCCCTCTGGACGACAATGGGGCGCACAGGCTGCCTGGCTGCTGAAGAACGCTCACTGGCCAAGGTAAGGTGGGGAAGGTGACGAGAGGTTGAGATGGGATGTGGTACGGGTAACACGCGGTGGGGAAGGGTGGGGAAGGGTGCATGGGTGAAGGGTGATGAGTGTGATGGGGCATGAGTGATGGGCATGAGTGATGGGCATGAGTGATGGGCATGAGTGATGGGCATGAGTGATGGGCATGAGTGATGGGCATGAGTGATGGGCATGAGTGATGGGCATGAGTGATGGGCATGAGTGATGGGCATGAGTAATGGGCATGAGTGATGGGCATGAGTGATGGGCATTTCCAACATTATTGAGGCTCAGAGTGGTTTTAGTGGGACCAGCCGAAGGTGCGCACACACGGTTCTTAGCAATTCAGGCGAATGGATGGGGGAATGATGGGAACCGATAGGGGCAGCACATCCCCACCCAGCCTGGGCGAGGTGGATGTAGATGAAGTGAACACCTCACTCCCACCACCATCTCACTCCCACCACCATCTCACTCCCACCACCATCTCACTCCCACCACCATCTCACTCCCACCACCATCTCACTCGCACCACCATCTCACTCCCACCACCCTCTCACTCCCACCACCATCTCACTCCCACCACCCTCTCACTCCCACCATCTCACTCCCACCACCTCCTCACTCCCACCACCTCATCACTCCCACCACCATCTCACTCCCACCACCATCTCACTCCCACCACCTCCTCACTCCCACCACCATCTCACTCCCACCACCATCTCACTCCCACCACCATCTCACTCCCACCACCTCCTCACTCCCACCACCCTCTCACTCACACCACCTCCGCACTCCCACCACCTCCTCACTCCCACCACCTCCTCACTCCCACCACCTCCTCACTCCCACCACCTCCTCACTCCCACCTCCTCCTCACTCCCACCACCTCCTCACTCCCACCACCTCCTCACTCCCACCACCTCCTCACTCCCACCACCTCGTCACTCCCACCACCTCCTCACTCCCACCACCTCCTCACTCCCACCACCTCCTCACTCCCACCACCTCCGCACTCCCACCACCTCCTCACTCCCACCACCTCCTCACTCCCACCACCTCCTCACTCCCACCACCTCCTCACTCCCACCTCCTCCTCACTCTCACCACCTCCTCACTCCCACCACCTCCTCACTCCCACCACCTCCTCACTCCCACCACCTCCTCACTCCCACCACCACCTCTGCTATGCAGAAGAGTCTGAAGGGGCAGCAAGAGGTCCAGTCAACCAGGCTGGAACCTAGACTCGCTACGGTCAAACGCGACGGCGTCCTGGCGACAGCCACCCTCTTGCTCCCTCCCACCGCCCTCTCACTTACGGCCATCCCTGCCATGCAAGAAACGAAGCTCAAGGTGGCAGGTAGGTGTAACAGGTGACACTCTGGATCATGCCGTCTGGATCTTGAGCCTCTGGTGGGGTGGAGGAGGGGTGGAGGGGGGGGGGGGGGGGGGGGGGGGGGGGGGGGGTCCTGGAAATAGAGGGTCGCTTTGGACCATAACTTGATCGGATGCATCAGTCCAGCCAGCTGTGCGGAGAAGTCAATCCACCCCATTCTTCCCCCACCATCTCACTCTCAACGCCATCTCACTCCCACCACCATCTCACTCCCACGCTTCCCCTGGGAAGGAAGCCAGACTGCAGTCAACACTTACTGCAGTCAAATGCAGAGTCCTGCCACAAGGGAGAATCTCCAACAACCCAATTGTAGCAGGCAGCTTGGGTTGTGTTGTGTGCCCCTTCACAAGATGTTTAAAACTGTACCGTTACGGTATTATTAAATCCCGTCGATGTACTGCACTAGCTAGGTTTGTTAGTATGCGTTGTAGCGCATGAGTATTATTCACCTACGATATTTTAAATTCACAATCATCATGTTAGCATTGTGGAGAGATTAATTGGGTTCACTTTATGATTATTTTGTAGAAACGTGTTCATCACGTTCAGTTAGCTATATGGTTGTGTAATGTTGGAAACAATTAACTCTACGCGCCTCTGTCGTGTCGAAACACCAAGTCAGAAGCGAAGCAAAGCATATCGAAGCACTGGCGAGTCAACCCTCGGAGGTTGTGCAGTTGCTGGAGGTTACGCGAAAGTCAAAGGTCAGCGACCTTTGACCTGACAAGTACAGCGCGACAGCAAGGACACACAACTGACTCATTACAGAGCAGTTGCCCGAGTCGTCACTGTATCGAACCGCAACAGCAACAGTAAAGTAGTTATAACTGTATCTCTTCATATTCCCTGTACCCTATATAATCTTGTATCTCTTTGCTTTAATCAATCAAATTTGCCCTCACATACTAGCGCAAGGTGGTTCACAACCCTTCATTAAACACTTCCGCTATTACATCAGTTATACCCACAGTTCACCCCTGCAAAGATCCCAAGGGCTATTTTTCTCAGCCCAACATGGTATGAGAGCTATCAAGGGGAATTCAACTATCAAAACACCTACAACATCAGAAGACATGGCTACTCATAAAGAAAGGAGTTCCTCTATTGGTTCTCCCGGTACTACTCCTACTCCACCTCCTGCCTCTGGCCTACAGACAGAGGAGGGTACGGCAAGAAGACCAAGGGCAACATCCACCGAGACTCCTGCAAATCAACCTGCAGGTTTCGACCAGAGCATAAGTTTTTCTCCTTCATGTCCTTCTGCGAGCAACACCAGCAATTGGCACCTGCGCAGTCACACAACAGCAACAACAACAATGACGTGTCTCTAATGAGCCTTGATGGTTCATCCTACGCACGTGGAAATCAACAGCAGCAACCTACCTTTGCTCCGTACGAGCCCCAGCGCGGTTCCGTCAGCTTTATGCCACAACCGCAGCCTGCACCTGGACAAGAGAAGACACTGGATGCGCTACAAGTTCAGTCGCAGTTCACGCACGTTCTGAAGCTGCAGACATCAAGACCTTTCGACGGAAAGGACTTTTTTACCTGGTGATTCGAGTTTGAGCTGATGATGGAAGGCGCGCAAATCCTCGGCTTCTTCGACGGATCCCTGCCATACCCAACAAATGGCACACAGTACGAGAAGCAACAGTACACCTATCAGTCAATGATGGCATACACAATCATACTGAGGAATATCACCCCGACTCAACAACAGAATATACGGTCTTACCGGGGATACGGCAACTCCGCCGAGCTCGCATACAGCCACTTGAAAAGCCTGTACCAAGCAACAGACAGTGTAAGTCAGAGTCGACTAATGGCGCAACTGACAACGGTCGAAATGAAACCAGGGGAAAAGGGGATGGCGTATATCAGTCGCTGTCGCGAATTGCGCGACAAACTCCTTCGATGCGGAGGGTCGATATCTGAAGACGCCTTCGTGACAGTCATCATTGGCGGCCTCGGTCCTCAATGGCGCGCCACAAAAGCCATTCTCCGAGCTCACGGAAGAATCTCCGAAGCAGCACTTTGCTCTGAAGTTCATGCCAACCAACAAGACATGGAACTGCAAGAAGAAAGATACAAGAGGAAGACGTCAGCACCGGAATTCGCTTTCCACACTCAGCGACACTATAACAACAACAACAACCGACACCAACCAAAGTATGTACCTCCGTTCTGCCACATATGTAAGACGTGAGGACACCCACGCACGCACTGCCCCAACCGACAACAATCAACAACAACGAAGCGGCAGCTTCGACCCTCGAGCAGTCAGGTCGCCTCTACACAAGTGAGCCCCACCATTTAAGTGCAAGCCTCAAGCGTATAAACGCTTATCGTATATATGCAATCTTATATATGCTGTAAGCTATAGGGACGGGTTTGGAAATCCGCTTTTTCAGGCAGAAAAAAAACTTCCCGGGCAGGGTCAAAAAAAGCCGCGGGGGGGGGGGGGGGGATATGGGGCCTGAAGTTTCAGAGATATTTTTTTTCCACATTACACATATACCACGGCCTACACATAAGTACTGTCATCATTACTATCATCACTACCATCACTACTATCATCACTTACCATCATCATTTACCATCACTACTATCATCACTACTCCATCACGACCATCACTTCTCTCTAAGACAAGCTACGTACTACTCCTTAGGACTAGTCGCCTACAACAAGCCACATTTGCCCCCTCTAGTTAGCTTACTCGTCTTCAAGGATGTCGTCTTTGCCTTCCTCCTCATCCTCTCCCTTCGTCTCGTCTTCTAGCCCATTGTATCCCGCTGGGATTGGAGGCTCCGCTCCAATCCCGGGCACCACATGTGGCAAGACATCGGCGCACGTATGCCAGTTGCGCACAACATTCCAGTTGTGCACAACATAGACCAAGTCCCTGCACTTGGCGGATCCGAGCCTGTTTCGACGTGCGGTGTGGACGGCATCTCACGAGGACCATCCACGCTCACAAGGTGAGGCTGACACGGCCTGAGACAACACCCGTACCGCGAGCTCTGCCACTCGAGGGGCATCAGTCCCATTCCACTGCCACCACTTCACCATGCTATACTTTCCCTCTTTCACCAGCTTCCTCTGTGCCACGGCTTCCGGCATCCCAAAAGAACCCTTCATGTCAAGGAACGCCCTCAGGACCGTCCCCCAGCTCAAGTAAGATGTCGCACACGTCATCCCCCCCATCCCCGCGGCTCGCAAGGAACTCGGCCTGCTGGCTGATGAACGCCTTGAAGACTTTCGTGCACTCGGGATCAATGCCGAAAATATCTTCCTCCTGATTCGCGGGGTTGAGGATGCGGCCAGCGACATGCGTGGCGCATGAGAGGCTGCCGTCCCAACCGTCTCTGAGGATGCGGCGGATCTGTCCTTGTCCCCGTCGCTCAGCTGCTCCTCGTCCGCATCGAGCAAGCCCCCCACGTCCTCAGTCAACTACAGCATCAAATCGTACAGCCTCCCCATCATCCCCACGGCATGCCCGTCCGTCTGCCTCATCACCTTAAAGGGCAGCTTCAGCAGGGCGACAAAGAACTCGGCCGTCTTCCACCAGGCTGCATCATGGATCAGCGCACTGAACCCGTCACACGATTTCTTCCGGTCCCCTACCGCCCACTCCTTCCAGCCCTCGCTCGTCACCATGTTGGTAAGGCTGCCGCGCATCGCACATAGCCGGGATATGGCTATGTAGTTGGTCCCGAATCGGGTCCCAGCCGGCTTTAGCGCCTGCAGAACCTTCCCCTCCACCAATTCCGGCTTCCACAGGTACCCTCGGGTCCAGTGGTGGTTGCGGACGAAGCTAGATATCTCCCCTCCCTTGTCGACCACCGGCTTAGCCCATCCCATCTTTCCGACATCTTCCATGAGAAGATCCAATACGTGAGTGGCGCACGGCACATCCTGAATGTGCGGCCACTCCCATATGAGCTGCTTCACCGCCACCGCATAGTTCGACCCCCCGTCCATGCAGAACGCAACAACGTTCTCTGGACCCACTTCCTCCACCACGGGCCTAAGAATCCTTGCCACGTAACCTCCGGTTTTCCTCTCCATGTTGCAGTCAATACAGTCGGTGAAGACGGCGCCGGAATCGTTTACGATAAGCACGTTCGCCTGCGGCCTGCCGTTGCGGTCCGTCATCATGTTGGACGAAACCGTCATGCCCGTCCTCTTCCAGCTTGCCTTAATGCCCACCAAATCCTGCTCGATTCCGTTGTGACACGAGAGAAGGCCAGCACCACCGATGTATTTCCTCTTGGGAGGGACTTAGTCGGCGCCGGCGCGCTTGACGAGGTTCAATGCATTGACCATCAGAGGATGGTCAATGTGGCGCTCGGGGATATGGAGGGCGGCCCCCAAGCAAGCGCAAGTGCCTCGTCCGCTTCTCTCTTTCTTGCAGTCGCATCCCCCTCAAGGTAATCGGTGATGCGCGCCCGCTTCACACCATTAGCCTTGACCGCGGCAACCGCTTCAGCTGCTGCCCGCCTCTTCTCTTCGGCCGCAGCAGTCTTTGCCTCGTATTTTGCGCGCATGGCCAAGCGCACATCTTGCGGCACATCCTTGCAAAGCACCACTTCACGGCGTTTCATCCCCTTCCACGACGTAAAGTGTTTGCGCGCATCGGATGGCAGCATCAGTGTAGACGTTGCTGCAGAACTTGCACTCGTACTGCTGAGCTTTTCCCTCGACCCTCTTGATGATGCGGAAGTGCTTGAAGACGCCATGGTCAACATCGGGTAGATACTCCCGTGCCTCGGTTAGAAGAGTTTGTGAACTGCCAACGGTGGTAACTGACGGTGGCGTTAGAGGAGAGGTAGTAGTCGTCGACATAGGCACCATGCGCTAGGGAATGCCTAGTGCTCTGCTGGTAGCGAGAGAAGACCTAATGAGTTGGATGTTGGGGGCGTGGTTGTTTTATAGCGAGTTGATTGTGGGAGTGGGAAGATGGCCAACAAAAATTGGAGAGGTGTTGGTTGCGAAGGGTTTGAATGCGTTACTGATAGTGAACACCAAAATGTGAGGGAGCGTGCAAGCGCGACTTGACGAACTTGACTTTCCATTTGCAACACGAACTTTCAACCCACGTCCACGTTAGCACACAGCGCGGACGTGCCATCTGACCCCGCCAATGTCTTCGTCATGCAATTCCGAAGCGAACTGTATAGGTTGAAATTTTCTGGCCGGGCTGCCCCAAAAAAAAATTGGCGAGCGTTATAGCGTATTCGATAGCGTTTAGCGTTTTGCGTATACACGATAGCGTGTATACGCTAAACGCAAACAGGTTTGAGCGTATATTCCCACTAAGGTGAGGAGCAGGGAAAACTAGGGAGAGAAGGAAGAGGAGGGAGAGAAGGAAGAGGGATGGGAGAAGAAGGACGGGGAGGTGAAAGGAGGAGACGAATGTGGCAGGCTCAGCCGACCACTACATTGGCGTGGAGGCATGCAGCAGGTGAGTCGAGGAGGTTTCAACACGTCAAATTTCCGCACCCCCCCTCCTCACGTCTTTTCTCTCCCCACCTCAAACTCCTCGTTCACCAGGTGCTCACCAGGTGCTCGCCAGGTGCTCACCAGGTGCTCGCCAGGTGCTCGCCAGGTGCTCGCCAGGTGCTCACCAGGTGCCTCATCAGGTGCTCACCTCCCGAGCTCACCGCGCTGCTCCAACGGGCGTGCTGCTTAACACCAAGTGGAAGGGGTGCCTGGGGCAGGTGGAGGAGCGGGAGGGAGTGGTGACAGTGAATGGTGTGCAACGATGGGGAGCAAGTGTGTGGTGCTGGCGCCTGATGCGGAGGTGCCTGAGAGAGGTGAGTATTTGGGGGGAATTGAGAGGAAGAATGGGGGGAAGGGTGAGGAGAATGGAGTGGGAGAGGAGATTGGGGGGTTTATTATTATGCAAAACATTCCCGTGAATTTGCACCATCGTTTATCGCTTCTGTTGGATGGTCTTGAGGTGGGCTGTGTGTGAATGCACCACTCAATGTTTAAACCACCCCCACCCACCCTCCCCACCCCTCTCCACCCAATCTCCAGGTGGTCTTGAGATAGCCCTCACATCCACCCTATCAGAAGCTGCCGCATGCAGCATTCAAAGTTCCACGTATCCCTTTGCAACCAGCCTCACCACCATCACCCACCCCACCCCCTCCTCTGTCTCCCCAGGTGGCCTTGACGCTGCCCCTATCCCAACACATCACCACTCATCCCAACACTTGCAGGTAGCACACGGTGGGTGCAGGTCCAGGTTGCTAGAGGCTGAAGTGGGGCGTTGGTACTATCAGGTAGCACATGGTGAGCTGGATTTGGGGGGAAGTGAATGCCTGCGGGGTAATGCTCGGCTCGCAACATTCTTGTGGTTGTGGCTCTGTCCTGACACCGCCTGGCTAAGATAGGGTGGAGAAGTTGTAGAGGTTGAGGCGGAGTGTTGGTGCTTCATGTAGCACACTGTGGTGGGGGGCGGGGGGCTTGCATGTGTGGGGAGTAGTGTACACAACATTCCTGAGCTTGTGCCTTTCTCTGATGCCCCCTTGCAAAGGTAAGTTGGCTATTGGGTGAGGTGGCTAGAGGCTGCGGTGCAATCAGGTAACGCACGGTAAAGTGGGGAAGAGAGGATTGGAGGAATCAGGTCGCGGTGAGCTATTGGCATGCGTGTGTGAGGCGCAATGCATGCGGAATCCACGAGGTTGGTGACTGCCTCTCTCCAGATGCCCCATGACTAAGGCGTCTGCAGGTGAAGGTGGGGGGCGAGGAACTGCTTAAGGGGAAGTCCTGTGACCAGGTGGATGGGGGAAGGCTGGGACGGAAGAGGTGTGGGGCTATAGATGTTGTATCTATCAGGTATCATGGTGGTCTGTGCGTGAGGTGATGGGAGAGTGGTGCTGACTTAGGTGGCAGAAGGGAGGCAGCAGCACCAGGCGGAATCTGGAGGGGATGTGAGTGGGGAGGGGAGTAAGCGGTTGCTGTGAAGCAGCACGAGCGCTCATTTTCTCGTGTACACTACTCGATTTCTGAGGCGCTTCAAAAATCTGGAGGGGATGTGAGAGGGAAGTAAGTCGGTTGCGGCGATGACGCACAAGGCGCATGCTTGCTCGCTTGCAATAACTTTCTTTTCCCCACTCGGCCCTTCCACCTTCATGCCTACCCCGTCTTGGCTTTATCAGCTCTGGAGACCACACTCTGATGGGGATGTTGCGTGCATCATTTCCCATGCTGCATGCATCAACCCCCATGCTGCATGCATCACCCCCATGCTGCATGCATCAACCCCCATGCTGCATGCATCACCCCCCATGCTGCATGCACCATTTCCCATGCCGTATGCATCAACCCCCATGTTTATCAGCTCTGATGACTGCAATGGGGGAGATGCATGCATAGTCCCCAGCGCATTGCATTGCACCCACTCTTGACCTCGTCTTATTGCATCCTCCCATCTCCTTTCTCCCTGCCACCCAGATACTACACTGGCTGCGCTGCCGTGTGAGTGCCGTGGTAATATGGACGACAATGAGTCCATATGATGTTCGAGTCACTTCTCGAAAGTGACGCACACAGTGATTCCGTGCTTGCATTGCAGTTCCCTCAGCCTCTCGTCAACTCTTTCCATTGTGCTGTGTTGCTCTGAGCAACACATTTGCTAACCTCACCTTTCATGCTGCCAGGCCTTGAACCGCCCACGATGCCGGGTGCGCTGTCCCCATGTGGCAAGGTGAGTAGAGTAGTGGCTGAGGTGCATGGGAGTGGTAATACACGCAACATTCCCATGGTCATAACTCTCACCAGACGTCGCCATTCCAAGGTGAGGGCAGGGTGAGGTTCGATGGTTGTGCTATCAGGTAACATGCGGTGAGGTGGGTGCAAGCAGGCTGAGGTGGGAGTGCTACTGCTATCAGCTAACACAAGGTAAAGGTAGTGAATGGGGGGTGCATGAATGAGGATTAATGCACGCAGCATCCCTGTGGTTGTGGCTCTATCAGTCTCAGCGCCGCTGGGCAAGCTGAGTGCTGCAGTGCAGTGGGTGGCTCTTATTGGGGAGTACAGGTCAATATAAGGTGGGAGGTTGTGCATGCTTATTTGGCTGTCTATGGTGAGCGCGAAGGTGGGAAATCGAGGAAGCATGACCATAAGGGGTTGTAAGTTGCACACACAGTTGGGGTGCACTGCCGACGCGGTGCACAGCCTGCTGAGGAGTGTTCTCGCATAGTTTGTGATTGTTGGAGGGGCAGACAGATTAGGGGAGAAATCTTTAGCAGAAAGGGCAGGTGGAGGATCAAGAAGTCATGTCAACGAGGCTGCTGCTCGAGCCATGCTGGGGGTAGCGCAAGAGTTACAAGCTTGCGAATCAAGCTGTGCTTCGGTGGCGAGATCAGCGACACGATCAACCTGAGAACTGTTACTCTTGTTTTGAACCAAGATTTCAAGGTCAAACGCAACAAAGTCGTGAAACAAGGGATCTGGCAACAACTGCCTTCTTGCTCCCTTCGCTCTCACGCTCCCACTGCCCTCTACTCCCACCGCCATTATCGCTACCTTATGTAACAAATGAAGCCTGGTGGGAGCAGCAAGAGGTCCACCAGGCACGCTGGAGCGAAGACTTGCTACATCCCGACAAGGGAGGGGCGGAGAATTACAACCCGACACATCCAATATTAAATAGTTAAGTGGAAACTCGTAATTTCAGAGCACTAGCCAAGTTCGTACGTGTTGTAGCGCATAAGCGATCATCCGCAGTGGTTGAACTTTGAATAGTAATCTTGTACAACTTGTGGAGAAATCAACTGTCGTTGTTTCAATTTTTTACCTACAACTCGTTTCTTTCCTTGTGTGCGTTATAAGAGTCATTGATTATTACTGTAGGGTTACTCTATCCTT